CCGCACAACGGCAACAAGCAACTATGGCTGCCGGGGCCCCTATGATAAGACCGGCCGTGGTCAGGGCTGTCCCGCCCCTACGCTGTTATAACTGTAATCAGCCAGGCCACCTTGGGAAAGATTGTCCGAAACCTCGAACTCAGAGTGGGCCCGCGGGGCCCACTGGACCTTCTCAAATTCCGCTGGCTGCTCCAACCGCTGCAGGACAAGGGAGGGTGGCCACGGTGATGGATACTGGAACAACGGAAATGATGACCCCTGCGGCGACCGAGATAGGGCCCGATGAGTACATGGCTGCGGCGATGTTCGAACCCGGGACCATTGGAGTGATACGTCACGTCCAAAGGATTACAGAGGAAAGCGACCTCGGGCCTTGGCGGCCGGGCTTCGAAGATCTCACGGCCCCTGGCCCTGAGTACAAAGACGGTCACATCGATGTGTTGGATGCATTGAAGGCTCTGGATCTACGGATCCCCATCCCTATTCCCTATCTACTAACCATTTCCGAAGCGGCTAATGAAAAGTTGATCGAACGATGCCTTAAAAATAGGCGCCGATTCGAGGAAAGTTGAAAGGGCAAAAAGCCGGTCCTACGAGACCCACCCACAAACGAGGAGTCACAGCACTCGACCTAAAAGGTGCACGAAGCCAACCGGATAGGAATGATCCAGACCATAGATTCTGCCTCGAAAAAACCCGAGGTATTCCTCCAAGCCTATCCTATAACCTGGAAAAGCGTTGAGTGTGATTGCAAGGTCTGGGGAAACCCCTCGGCCACCATCCTAGACTCTGGATCGTCAGCGGTCGCCATTTCTTGGAGATTGACGAAACGATTGGGAAGGGAAAGACAGGTTCAGCCCCTCCGACCGGATGAACTGTATATATCCGCTACGAAAGACAACATTCATTGTAAAGGGCGGATAACGAACGTGCCTATACGGGTGGGGCGGGTGCATTGTTTGTGCGACGCAATCGTGCTGGATGTACAGGCGTATGATGTTCTGCTAGKCATTCCGTGGCAGGCGGCAGTCGGAGCGCGAATGCACTTTGACAACTGTAAGGTGGTGCTTACATCGGCCCACCCCAAACCACAAACGATACCAATGAGATTGGCGGTGCATATGCGCACCCAGCCGGCGCCTCGAATCACCACGAAAGCCCATCAAATCAACATGATCCGACGCCTGTCACCAGCTGAAAATGAAACCTCGTCGGAAACTGACGAGACTGACGTTCCTGACCGATATCCGATCCGGGTTCAGGATCGGTGGCGCCATTCCTAGCGACGAGAACCCCTGGAAATAGTTCGGAGTGAGTCCGATTGGTCGCACGCGTTCTCCTCCGTGGTGCAGAGAGAACCCCTGTTGAGGGTGTTGCGAATAACTGACCTTTCGGAACCCCCTGCGTCCTTATATCTTAGGACGGACCCCCTACCCGAAAGGTTTATGGAGCTCAGGGGGTTGTGCGATATAATGTTTCGGCCTCCCAGGCCCCTGCTTACAAATGCAAAAGCCACCCTGCTCTTGAAGGAAGGGGTGTCATTTCAACCCCGGACGAGGGAATATCGATGGAGGCCGAAGGAGCTGATACAGACCTTTTTAGTGAAACCCTCGGCTGAAACCGAGCTCGAGAACGACAGTGACATGGAAAATGAACCGATAAGCCCCGCAGACAGTCAACTTATCGCGACTGTGCTTTCAACAAAAACCGACAACTCTCTGTTTGGTGCCTCACCTGAAGCTAACGCGGCAGTCCCCATGGTTACGACGACGATCTCCCTCCCTGAGGGAAACGTGGACGTCCGGCTGCCGGCCCATGTGCCTGACGACTATAAACGCCTTCTTTTGGCAGTTGTACGGGCCTACCCGTAGGCCGTCAGTATCCAGGACCACGATATAGGACTTACCCACCTGATCCAACACGCGATTGATACAGGTGATCTCGATCCGATACATTGCCGACCATACCGTTATTCCCTAAAGGAAAGATAGCTGGCCTTGGAAAGGGTACGGGAGTTCGAGCGGTTAGGGTGGGTTGAACCATCACTGGGACCATGGTCATTTCCCGTGGTCCTCGTGCCAAAACGAAACGGTTCATTCCGAGTGTGTATTGACTACCGCAAATTAAACGCTATTACTACCAAAGATGTCTATCCGCTATCGCGGATTGACGATCTGCTGGATGCTATCGGCTCCGCTCGGGTCTTTTCAAAGTTCGATATCTGACACGTTTTTCACCACGTCGCAGTCCGACCGGAAGACCGGCCCAAAACCGCTTTTGTCCTGTTCGAGGGCACGTGGCAGTGGATCCGGTGTCCCATGGGAATTTACAACGCCCTCGCAACATTCCAGCGGGCCATGAATATGACCTTCGCCGAGTTCGTTAACAAAACCCGTTTGACACAGCCGTTGATAAATTTCTGTGTGATTGTGTACATGGATGATATTTTGGTATTTTCCAAAACCTACGAGTACCATGTGGAACATGTCGAATGGGTGTTGCATGCATTGCAAGATGCGTGGTTCAAAGTGGCTCTGGAGAAAACCGAGTTCTTTCTGTCCGAAATTTCCTTTTTGGGCTACATCGTCACGGTCGAGGGACTGAAACCGGATCCCAGGAAGGTAGCAGCGGTTCGAGAAGCCCCGGCCCCGGTCACGCTCACTCAGGTTCGAACCTTCCTAGGGCTGCCCTCTTATTATCGATGCTTCATTCAGAGCTTTGCCTGCCTCGCCAAGCCACTGACGAACCTGCTGAAGAAGGAGGAGCAGCTGATCTGAACACCGGAATGCGAGGCGGCCTTTCGGGCACTCAAGGAGGCTCTGACATCGGCACCCGTGTTGGCTCGTCCCGATCCAACAAGACAGTTTGCGCTGCATACCGACTGGCAGCCGCAGGCGATATCGGCGGTGCTGACTCAGCAAGGAACGGATGGAAGGGAGCACGTCATCGAGTATGCGTCGAAAATGCTAAGTCAGGCGCAGTCGAACTACGAGGCGTGCAAGGGTGAGTGCTTGGCGGTGGTGTGGGGGGTTCAGCACTTTCGACCGTATCTGTACGGCCAGAAGTTCGTGCTCGTGACGGATCACCAGCCATTGCTATCGTTGCGGAACAACACGGACTACACGGGTACCTTGGGAAGGTGGGCGGTGAGATTGCGGGACTACGACTTCGACATCCACCACCGTACCACCAGGCAGCACGGGAACGCCGATGGTCTGACGCGCCTCCAGCCGCCGAGCAAGAGTCCCGCGAACGAGAAGCGCATCTCGTGGAAGCCGATTTCGCCTTCGACGGAACCCAGTTACGGGGAGGTGAATGTCCTCTGCAAGGGTACTGCAGCAATCGGAGATGGCGATCTCCCATGAGGAGGCCGCCACCCCTTCTCCCCTTCCCTATTCTTTAACCCCCTATCCTGACCCCGACTCCCCTCCGAGCACGCCTTCCCAAATCTATTTCTTCTGCACCTTGCCCATGATACCGACAGGGGGAGATCCTCCCCTCGAGGGGCCTAGCTTTCTTCCCTGGGTACAATGTAGTCAATGTCACCTCGTTCGGTCCCATGGGAGTTGTGCCCGGTATTGGAATGAAAAAAGTTGGAACTGTCCCAACTGTCGAATGGACCACGTACCTACGGAAAAGCGGTATCTAGAAGCTAGAACAGTAGACGGATTTTTGCCAAGCGTCCGCCGATTGGAAGTCTGGACCGATCTTTTACTATTACGGAGACTGACAGGCGATTCGCTGACGGAACTTACCAAGGCTGACCGGCGACGTGTCACGGAACGGGCGCACGATTACCGCTGGCAGGGATCCGTCCTACAAAAACGAACAGACGATGACGTCGACGGATCTAGTTGGCTGACGGTTCCACACCCACAGGCCAGGTTCGATTGGACACGAGCCACCCACGAGGAGGATGCGGTCCACTTTGCAGTCAAATACACGAAAAAAGCAATAGAGAAAAACGGATGGTACTGGTCGGGAATCCGGGAAGATGTGAAATACATCGTCCGGACTTGCCCGGCCTGCGCGGCCGATAAGGCGTTGATACAGATGCCCCATACAATAGTGCCTACCCGGGTAGAGCGCCCCTTCCAACGGGTCAGTATAGATACGACGAACATCAACGTGCCGAGAGACCCTGTTGATCAAGGAGAACTCAATGTTCTTCTTGTAGCCGTAGATCATTTTTCGAAATGGATCGAAGCGTATCCAATGACCAGCCGGAACTCACAGGAAGTAGCCTGGTACATTAATCGCTTTTTGTGCATGCACCTGGACGTAGAAGAGATACATATGGACAATGGATCCGAGTTCCAGGGGGACGTAGAGCGACATCTTGTAAGGGCAAACGTTAAAATTTCATACTCCCCAGGGCACTGGCCTCAAGCCAACGGGCTCGTAGAGAATGCCAACCGAATGATCAAGACTGCACTTAGACGGAATATCACAGCAGGTGATACCAGGCCCTGGCCTGTCATAGTCGACCACATTTTGGCCGTCTATCGGGCTACTCCCCACGGGAGCACCGGGGTGTTCCCATTTCAACTGAGAACCAATAGCGTCCCCAGAGTGCAGTTGTCACCTCTAGTGGGTACGGAAGTTAGGGTGACCAGGGCCCAGCACAAGGACAAGGCCCAGCATTACCTGGATCTGATGGCCCGGACCTATCCCGCGTTAGCCCGAAGACGACAAAGGGCCGTAGATCTGACGCATCAACGGCAGATCCGGGACTATGAGAACCGACACACGACTGCGGGGCCAATGCCCCGTTATAAGATCGGGGACTTGGTGCAGGTACGGAAATCTGCGCGCTCCTCCAAGATCCACCCACGCTATACCGGCATTTACGAAGTGACGGAAGTTGGCGCACGAGGACAGCACTCCGTGAAGCTGGTCCCCGGGCATAGCACGCAGGCCAGGTCGCTTACGCGACACGCGGCGGCTCTTCGGCTGTTTCAGCCATCTCCGGGCCGCGAATTGGCTCGTGCCCCGTCCGAGCCTTCGTCCTCTCTCTCCTCCTCTCCTTTTCCGTCTTCTTCCTCTTCCCGATCTGCCTCGTCCCTTGGTGCTGAGAGTTTCAGGGAGTAGGATGAACCATCGCCAACTGGAGCATGAGCCCCTCGAGCATTTCCAGACGCCGCTTGCAGATCGCTTGTTGTGGCATCAGTTCAATGAGGAGAGGCAGTTGCGATACGACATTCAGCAGGTGAACGTGCCAGCGCCCGGGGTTGCTGATCTGGCGACGTACTCATTACTTTGTGATCGGCTGACGTATGCGGGGGTGTACGTGGACGTGACGCAGTTGCCGGGGCGGGAGATGACTCGAGTGTTCATCGAGTTCCGGGTGCTCCAGGTGGCACCTAACTTCGTGCATAGCGTCGCCACCTTCATCGGAGACTTGATGATCCTGCTGGCGCGGAGTTTTGTGCGCGAATACGCGGTGCAGGCGGCCAGATTAGTGGCCAGAGTGCAAGGACGGGGGGGACGCCGATTCACAGCCCACGAACCGCAGCTGTGCAGGGCAGAGGACGAACCAATCGCGTTGGTGCCACAACTCCCCGCGCTTCTTCCTCCCGCTGCCCCTCTCAACATCCAAGCTATTCCCCCTGCCCCGTACTAAATGCCTCCCTTCTTCTCTTACACCACTCTCCCCTATCAACTCACGGAGGGCCCTTATCCTATGCGTGAGTTCTCGGAGTATTTGGTGGAGCTGACTGACATGGAGCCGCTGCCCTTCGCAGACGAAGACGCATGGGAGTTGCACCGTGCGATGTACAAGTCGGTGGCGTTGGGGATGTTCCGATTCTTCGTGGATCACGAAGACCACTACATCGGGGAGCACTTCGTCGTCTCTTACGTCATCACGCGGCCCAAGCCAGCGCAAAAGTAGGGGACGGTGGCGCTGTACCCATTCGCCCAGCTCCAGTCGATCGATCCGGGACTGTTGGAGCTCATACATCTTGATCTCCTATCCATTGCGCAAGTGATCGCGAGTGAGGAAGAGGAGATCCAGCCACGATTGCGGACGACGGCTGCCCCGCGGAGAACGTACAACGAGGTCGTCATCCTGGATTTCATTGCGCAGCGCGATGAGAGGTTGGAGGACTTCCCGGAGGAAAAGCCGTTGCGACCTCCCTCGTCGTATCCCAGACCGCGGCCGCCAAAGGCCCCCAAGAAGACGCCGAAGAGGAAGAGACGCCACCCGTCGCCAGGAGCGCAAGGCAGCAAAATCAGTGGCGGCGAGGAGGTGATTCAGCCCTCGCGCACGCGGAATCTTGATCCAGTGCCTGGGAGTGCGGCGACGCTCGTTAAGGAGACTGTCGTGCCATCGCCGCCCTTCCCGCGCGTGCCCGATCTCAATCTTGATGGAGCCGGGCCATCAGCCGCAGCTGCCACAGGAGGAAGTCGAATGGGATTACCAGATCCCGTATCCAGATCCCCCGTCCTAGCGGGACCTTTCTGCCTCCGCCAGCCACCCCGGAATACCCCGATCATTGACATTAGTAGTTCCTCCGAGCCGGACAGTCCATCCGACAGAGGTGGATTTCATGGTGGAGCCCACCACCATCAGGCTCGAGGCCATCGCGGGGGCGCCGCGCCCAATGTGATGTACCATTTCCTTGTCTTCGCGGCGCAGAAGCGGGAGCGGCGGCCTTACACCGAGACTCATGTGGTGATGACGGGTCCAGGACCCCGATCGATGCGCAAGTGGGTGGTGCGAGCGGTGGCGGATCTGGCGCCACGTGTCCTGTCTCATGTGCCAAGGGCCTTCCTCTATCCTTCGTTTGTCCAGCACCACTTCCATGAGGAAGACGCGCCTACGACTCCCGCGGCAATGGCTGCTTTTCTTCCACCTATTCCACCCCCTCTAAATCCCGACATCGATCACTTCCTCTGATCACTCTCGTCTACCTCTCCCCTCTTCTCTCCTCCTCCTTCTCTTCATCATCTTCATCTCCTATGCCCAAAGTTCGCACGCCGAGACGCACTGTGTAAAAAAAATTAATAATAAAAAAAATTCAATGGACTACTTACCGATCGGGCCAGCTGACGATGAAGGGGCCGCCCGATCAGATGTATAATAAAGGGAGATGGCTGACGATGCGAAATGCATGGAAGTAGGATAGGAGATGCTCGGGCCAGCTGACGATGAAGAGGCCGCCCGAGCATCCAAAATATGATGACATCAGCAGTCGGGAGACTGCTAATTTGTCGGAACCCCCTGCGTATCACAGATGTGATAAGCTCAGATCCGTACCGCGCGGCTTGCCGTATCCCTGAGGGAGAATCCCCCAGGAGCCCCGAAGTACGGATGCGAACAAAAAGGGGTTTTTTCTTTCTTTTTGCTTTTGCTTTCCTTTTTGAAACGGCTTTTTCATTTTTTTTTGGCTAAATAACTCYCGCGCGGGCGAATAGCGGYCGCGGTATGAAAACCAAGAAACGGTTTCGGTGGGGACTTTTTGAATTTTTGYGCGYGCAYGCCTAAGCTCCRATTTCTTCGCGCGTCTCGCAYCCCCGTTTCTTGCTTTGCATCCCCGCGCCATCTTCCTTTCTTGCTGCGCGYGTTTCCCTCAAGCCGGACTCTTCRTCTTCCCCTACGCCCAGCTTGATCCTTACCCCGTCTTCCTCCGCGAAGTGATTGGCTGCGTAGTTGGGATGCTCGGATCAATGTGGAGGGCGGGAAACCGCGCACCACTTGAACGAACACCCCAATCACGTAGGACCATGCAACCCTGCGGGTCGAACCCTCTGACTCCCCACCTTTCTTCTGCCCTGCCCGCACCTCGCGCTGACAACCCGCCGCCTTCTGCGCTATGAATTCGCGCAACCCTCTCCTCTCTCTCTCTTTGATCTCGGCTGCAATGCTGCGCGAGCTATGTGCGAAGTCCGCGGTGCCGAACAGGCTCGACGAGCCCAAGGACGGGCGGAGTGACGACGCGGGGTGGACCCGCGGTAGACTCGGGGCGAAGCAGTCGGTGGGACTGAGCAGTGGTGGGGATTGGACGCTGGCCGCGGCAGGGCCTTGTGGCTATGGTGGTCGGTGGTCTTGGGAAGTTTTGAAGGATGCGCCTGGGGGCGGCAGATAATTGAGAATTTTTGTATACAAGAAGGACTCGCTTTTATCTCCATTGCTGCTTTATCTATGCATGACGTGTGTGTGAGGCCCCGAGTGATGGGAGCTGGTTGTGCGCATGAGTGATGTCGAAGGTCTATGGATGATTGGATGTCCTATCAAGGGTTGTTGATTGCATGCATGTATGTGTGTATGTACTTATCCGGCCGGGGACGGACTGAAACACACAGCTGATTTCTGAGTTTTGCTCATAGACTGAATGCCCTACTGCGTTCCCCGCCTGCTAAGTCTATGTGTGTGTGTGCTTGCTGGACTGCATGTCTGTCTGAGTGCTGGTTGGCTTGCGTGTGTGACCGTGCCTATATGAGTGCTGGTTGGTATGAGTGTGTGTGTGTGTGGCCCGCCAGGGCACTTGTTCGTTCGTTGGGCCTCAGGGCCGGTACTTACCTGTGGCCGTGGCTTTGAAGGGTCGCAGCAGGGGAAAAAGCACTCAAGTAGCGGGTAGGCCGGTACCGCACCCGGTAGGGGGGTAAATATGCAGGTACCGGAGGCCGAGCAGAAGAAGACAAAAGTGGCATTTTTAGAGTCCGGTAGCGTAGGCTAGGTCTAGCGGGTACCATTCTGAGTCTAGGGCCTGTAGGGGCAATATCAGAGTCTGCAATGATGTTCCCTCCAAAAATAGGAGGAGGTACCGGTTGCTTGGGAAGGCCAGCGGCCTGGAATTCACCGCCCAAGAGGCAAGCAGGCCACTATATCTTCTGGCCGTGAGGAAGACCCGACCTCTTTTTCGGTGTGCAAGTTTGGCGACACACTGGTGGAGCGCTGGAGGGAGCAGCGCTGGGTTGGAGTTGCGCTGCTGGTGAGGAAGAAGAAGGACACGAAGGAGGAAGAAGGAGGAAGGAAGGAGGAAGGGGGAGGAGCGCCAGGGGTACTTACCTGGCTATGGTGACAACCATCTTCAACACCTTGGTGGGCGCTGCTGCAAGGAGTCCCCAGTCGGGGGAGCTACACCAAGAAGCTTCAAGGCAGGGCTGGGCATGGCGGCCTAAGCTGGAGCAGCCATAGCTGCTCTGAGGTGTCCTTTGGACATCGTAGCAAGGCCTAGTAGTCCGCCATAGCCTCGGCCTATGTGTGTGAAGAGTGGGGAAGACAGCCATGGCTATGGTGGACCTTGAGTGAAACCTGCAGTAGAAAAGGGACTCGAACATGATTCTGGACCAGTCATTCAACATTGTATTATTATTTCTTGTATGAATAAGAGAAGGGGGAGATAAGGAAGAGGAGATTGTTGGGCGAAGAAGAAGAGCCTTGTCATTATCTTTGTTGGTGCACATCTTCTTCTTCTTCTTTCTTACTTCTTCTTCTTCTTCTACTCCTCTCTCATCTCTCAAGTTCATTCATTTCTTTCTGCAATTGGATGGCGTTGAACTTTCCAGTGGATGTGTATCTCGAAATTGGCCAGGGTCATAACATTGGTATCAGAGCGGATTCTACTTGCTGGTGAGAGTTGACTTTGCTACCCTAACCCTAACCTAAGTGGTTGTGGGCAACACTTAGGGTTAGGGTTGGATGGTTGAGGGAAGTGGGGCAGCGTGGCTAAGGGAAGCTGCCCCCACCTAGTTAGGTCATGTGGGGTCAACATAGACCCTAACCAGGTTGCTTGAGAGTAAGATTGGGGTGGCGAGACATTTCGAGGAGACTTCATGCGGCGATTTGAGAGAGGCGACAGTGAGAGGCACTCGCACCTGGAATCTGATTCAAGGGAAACACTTGGCAACTTAAGGGCTGCCCTCAAGTAGGCGAGCTTGAGGGTCAGCGGCCATTCTGCTTCAACGGACTGCAAGTTGCTACTTTGTTCTTCAGCATCGACGGGGGATCCGGCGTTGCACTTGGGTGTTGGAGTCAGACCCTCCTAGGAGATAGGACACTAGTGTAGGGGTAGCGTTAGATGGGTCAGGAGGACCATATGAGAAGGGGGGTGAGTTCTCTTCATCTCGAAGCTCAAGGCCACTCAGGTAAGTGTCGTGCACCTACGGGATGCCCATGTATGTGTGTATGGTATTGCTTGACCTGCTGGGGTACTCTGGGTTTCTTTTCCTACTCCTCTGTGGTCTTGATTGTGTGACTGGATGCATGTGATCTACCTACTCACCTGATGGATGGAAAATGAAGTATCTTGTTATACATGTCGAATCTTTCTACAGTGCTTTGTCTTTTCATCACTGAACGGTTGTAGTCTGTAGGTTCTGCCAGAAGTTGAAATTTCGTTTTTCAGTGCAGTTGAGACTGAACTAAGTTCCGGTGGGACTCTTCTTGGTTGGGACCTGGTTGAGACCTACGTGGGACCCTTGGGACCAAGTGGGACCCTTGGGACCACGTGGGACCCTAGGGACCCAGCGGAACCGGGCCCAAACAAGGAGAGCCTTTGGAACCAAATCAGTTAGGCATTGACCTCTTGTCTTCTTGGCTAGGATATGAGTTCATTCTTCTTGGATTAGGACACCCACTGCCGAGGGGATCTTGGCTCTGACGTTTCGCTTGCATTCTGATTGCACCGTCCGTGGCTTGACTCGCACGCTGTACACCACTCAATTCTCCATTGTTGCATTTGGTCACTCGTTGTCTGATTTGTTGTACAGACACGGAGCTGGTCAGGCTGGACTCGAGAGGACCTCGCATGCAGCCTGACCAGACTGGGTCGCAAGATCAGACCTCTCTTTGAGTTTGATTGTTTTTTTTTACTGTTCTCTGCCTCCAAATGAAATGTCGCTCCGGCTAGGAGTTCTACCTTCTTTTCTCTGAGCTTTATCTGTTTTCTGAGTTCATTTCCGATGCCCGCGGAGACTCGTAATCAAAAAGAAGAAAGAGAGGAGAGGGAAAGAGAACAGGGAGAGAGGGAAAGTGATAGTCTAAGGTGGGCAAGGACTGGGAAAAGGAGCGATCGTCTAAGCGCGAGGGGGAGTAAACCTCTTGATAGTCTGATTGATTCTTTTGCTGTCTGGCGACTCTGTGATCCACCTGCCCACACTGACAGTCCAAAGATGGCCCAGCTAAATTCGACGCAATGGCGGGCCTTGCTAGATGCAGCTAGTGATGCTGAGAAACCGCATCTGCAAGAACTTTTGGATGGTGCTATAAAACGGGAACAGGAGACAGAGAAGGAGAGGAAGGAGACCCTGCTAAGAAGGCAAGTGGCTCTCCTAGAGACTGTCCCCTCACTGACYGAAGTGCAGTGTGGGGAACAGTTGCAGTCCATACTCACAACCTTGGTTCAAGTCCGGAATCTTGAGGACCATACCACTCAGATCGCTGAAGTTTTTGCGAAGCTGCAGATTCTTCAGGATGATCTGACTGAGATGACCCGCGAGTACCATGACTTACCAAGGAAGTAGTTGACCTGCCACAAGCCCAAGTGGCCAACCCTCTCCCTCTACCCCCTGGATCCGGAGCTGCAATAGGAACTACTTCCGCCCCTCTTACTGTATCTTCTTCTACCTCTTCTTCGAGTGTGATGGTAACTTCCTCAGGACCTGCAGCAGGTGCAGATTCCACTGTTCTTGTAACAAGCAATGAGGCCGGAACTTCTGCAAGTGCTGCAGCCTCAGGATCCGAACCAGCTGCTGCTGGTCCCAGCCACGTTGGTCCCTTTGTGGACCGAAAGGCGGTTCAAATACGTCCAAGTACGATGGCAAGGAAGGCATCGAGTCCTGGATCGGCTCCATGAGGACCTACTTTAAGATCCTGGGAACTCAAGCTGAAACCCAGGCGGTGATCATGGGTATGAATGTCGAGCCAGTCGTACGGGGCTTCTTAGAAGTCCAAGCAACACGGGCTGGGTTTCAAAAATCTGCACTAGCCAAATGGCTAAGGACCACCCCGGTTGCCTCCCTCGAAGAACTCCTTATCTCTGGATACCAAGACCCACATGTTGCTGCTAAAGCAAGGATTCAACTGGATAAAGTAAAGCACAACAAGTGGAATGGCTCCATGAAAAGCCTGCAGACCTATCTAAGCAAGTTGTTTGTCACTCCTGGTTTGGAATTGTCCACTCAATCTTGCTTGGATGTGGTCAAGGGCGCGGTTCCAACTAACTTCACTAGTCGCCTGGGTAGGGACTACATTCTTATATGACTGGCTTGCCTTAATGAAGGATGTAGTCAGTCTGGAGGCCATGGACCTCGTTAGCACGGCAGGCAGCAAAAAGCCCATGGGCGGCAAACGGTTCAAGAACAACAAGCGTTTGGCTGTGCATGACCTGCTGGAGGCCGAAGAAGGAGCCGATGCGGTTCACCCCACTCTTGGTGACGACCAAGAGCAGGACTCCGATACAACTTGTTCTTCAGTCCACGAGTCCGACGCAAATAATGAAGAAGAAAAATTTTCTACCTGCAAAAAGACTGCCAACACTAAGGGACCGAATCGGAGTGCCGGAAAGAGTTATGTCCAACTCCCCAAAGGAGTTAAGATCCTGCCTAAACCAGAGGATGCATCTACCAAACCATGGGTTGACCTCCGGATCACTGAGAATGACGGGCGGGGCAGACTCAAGAAAGGGGTTTGCCTGCATTGCCAAAAGCCAAATCACAAGGTCCAAGACTGCTATAGGTTGCAGGGAAACCAGAACTGGGCGTAGAGTCAGATTCAGCAAACTCTACAACAGGGGAGTCAGGATCTGATGAAAATCAGCAGCCCTCCCTTGAAGCCCAACCATCTGCTGAAGACAAGGCTGAGGTGAGTAAGGTGTTGTATGACGAGYCTTGGGAGGAGTCTGAGATGATTGACTTCCACTACCACTTGGAGCGTTGGGCTGAAATGAAACAGCAGCGGGCCCAAGGGACGGTGAAGTTAATCTTCTTTAAACTTCTCATCAACCACCGCTATCTCCGTGTGTTAGTTGATTGTGGTGCTACAACTAATTTCATGTCACCACATGGGATACGCAAGGTGGGCTTGGGGATGAAGAAAGTGGTCTTGCAGAACCCTTGCCGGACCCAAGTTGGAAACAAAGAAGTTGTCTCTTCTACACATGCAGTCAAAGGTGTGCGCACTACCTTTGACAGAGGTAAGTCTGTCACCCACGCATTGAACTCCTTTGTCCTTGACAAGTGCCCCTTCGACGTTGTCCTTGGCTTGGGCTGGCTGCAGTCCCAATGCGAATGGACCAAGTGGAAGGAATCACTCTTCATGGTCAAAGATGCTCAGGGGAACGAGCTTCCTGTCCTCTTGGATGAGAAGCACGAATCCCCAGTGACTTTTCTAAATGCATTGAAATTATGCAAGAAGTGGCGCAAGCACAAGAAGGAAGAACAAATGTATGTTGCCTTTGTTCGTCCTGCTCATGTACCTTCTACTTTTGCAGCTAGTACCACTACTACTTTGGATAATGATCCTACTTCTAGTACTTCTACTACTAGCACTCTACCCTCTACTAGTCCAAATGATCCTACTTCARATTCGGTCGTCTCTATACGCGACTTGCGACCGGACTTTGGTGATCCCTTTGCTGATTCCCCACCCCCACCTGTCCCATCAGACATCCAAGCCCTCCTCGATCGGTTTCCGGAAGTCTTGGCCGAGCCACGTGAAGTCCCCACGCGACCGGTTCGATCCACCATCGAGTTGGTCGAGGGTGTTGTTCCTCCAAAGGGCTGCGTGTACCATATGGGACCCGGCGAGTTGGAGGAACTCCGGCGGCAGATCGATGAGATGATTGACAAAGGGTGGATCAAACCAAGCGAATCTGAATTTGGTGCTCCTTTGTTGTTTGTGCCAAAGAAAGGAGGTAAACTCCGCATGTGTATTGACTATCGCGGTCTAAACCGCATCACAAGAAAGAATGTTTACCCATTGCCTCGTATAGTTGACTTGCTTGGTGCTGCAGGCGGGTGCAAGGTCTTCTCCAAGATCGACCTCAGGTTTGGTTACCACCAGATTGAAGTCGATCCTGCGGATCAGCACAAGACCGCGTTCAAAACGCGCGACGGGCTCTATGAGTTTACCGTAATGCCCTTCAGTCTTACGAACGCACCAGACACGTTCCAAAGTCTCATGGACAAGGTCCTCCGCGAACAGATTGGTCGGTTCGTGGTAGTGTACCTAGACGATATCTTGATTTTCAGCAAGTCTATGGAGGAACACCTCAAACATCTTGAGGAGGTACTTGCTGTCCTCAAGAAAATGCAACTCCATCTCAACTTGGATAAATCTAAGTTTGGGAAGGATAGCGTCATCTACCTTGGGCACCGGTTGTCTGCTGCAGGCCTAGAGCCTGAGGCAGCCAAGATTGAGGTCATACGCGATTGGCCTCAGCCTGTGAACATTCGAGAATTGCGTTCTTTTCTTGGACTCGCGTCGTACTATCGAAAGTTTGTACCCCGTTTCTTCATTATTGCTCGTCCATTGTCGCGACTAACAAGCAAGAATGTGTCTTATGCCTGGGATGCCGGTGTACGGAAGCTTTTCGGACTCTCAAGGAAGCCTTGGTAAGTTATCCGGTACTCCGCATTGCAGATCCCAAGCTGACCTTTGTAGTCACTTCGAATGCAAGTCAGTATGGGATTGGTGCGGTGCTGCAACAAGATGACGGCGATGGCCTGCGGCCACTCGAGTATTACAACAAACGCATGCCCAGCGTAAAGGTAGCCACTTCCACCTACATGCGCGAGCTCTACGCTTTGCGCATGGCGTTGGATCACTGGAAACATTACCTTTTGGGATGGCACTTCAAAGTCTTCTCACATCATGAGACCTTGAAGTGGATCAAAATGCAGACCACTTTGTCCTTTACCTTACTTCGCTGGTTTCATGAGATTGACATCTTCGATTTTGAATTGAGACATAAAAAGGGCTGTTACAATCGAGTCGCTGACGCTTTGTCTCGCCACCCTGAGTACATGACTTGCCTTGTGAAATCCTATGACCTCCGGAAGAAATTGAAGGAGGACCTCGTAGAGCAGACAGCCAAGGATCCGGAACTCAGTGCCATCCTTGAGCAGCTGTGGGCTGATCCTAGTAGTCAGCCTGATTTCCACGAATATGGAGGACTGATTTTTTGACGATACGGGAACCATGACCGTTTGTGTGTGCCCAACCAGGAGCCTCTCCGCACGCACTTTCTGGACTTGGCTCATGCCGGAGCGGGCACTTCGGCATGGCAAAAACGTACGCTAACCTGCTGAGACAGTTTGATTGGCCTTGCATGAAAGGGACTGCTGAGAAATTTATAGCTGAATGTCAAGTCTGTCAACGAATCAAACCATGCAGACAAAAGCCCATGGGGCTACTCACACCCCTACCCATTCCTGATGGTCCCGGGGAGTCTATCTCCATCGATTTCACTTACATGGGTAAGGTAAGCAAGAATGGGTTTTCACAAGTCATGGTGATTGTTGACCGATTTTCAAAGTTTCTAAATCTGATCCCTCTACCGCCGCACGCCCCAACAGATCTAGTGATTCACAAATTCCAGCAGAAATACCTGCTGCAATTCGGAACCCCGAAGACTCTTGTGAGCGATCGGGACCCGCGTTTCATTAGCGCTGAATGGAAGGAGTTCACGTCCCACCTAGGAATCAAACTGTGCATGACATCTGGCCGACACCCCGAAGCCAACGGTTTGGCTGAGGAGATCAACCAGACTGATCATTCTTGATCAGGAAACATGGGATGAGGAGCTGTATTCTGTCAAGGGGTTGTATAACAACTCAGTTCACTTTGCCACCGCCACGACGCCCAACAGGCTGCACTACGGGTGGCAGATCTGCAATCCGCTCTCCTACTTGTTCCCTGAGCAGCCAGCTGGTTTAACACCCGGCAGGCCCGGCTTCAGGGCTAAGTATGATAGCTTGCTCAAAGTTGCTGTTGCAGCTATGACCAAGCAACAGCATGCCATGATTCATCATGCGAACAAGAAGCGCAAACCATCGGAGATTCAGGTAGGAAGTAATGTCTAGGTGAAGATGTCTGAATTCTCAGAGGAGGAGGGGGTCTCACGCAAACTCCTCCCACTCTACTACGGGCCTTGGGAAGTTTTGGATGTAATCGGGGAAGATCACTTTGGCCCTTCGTACGTTGTGGACGTGCCTGCTCACCTGCGCACATATCCCGTGTTTCACGCATCTAAACTGAATCTCCATCGTGATGCCGAGACATTGGATTATCGTGAAGATATGATCCCTCGCGCAATCAAGGGCGGGCATGAGATAGATAGGATCAAACAACATGTAGGTAAAGGGAGAAACAGACAGTACCAGGTTCATTTCATGTATCACCCGTTAGATGATCTCTATTGGATCTCCAAACAGGAACTGATACGCAGCGCACCACGCGTTGTTAAAGCTTATGAGGGACAGATCGATGCTAACGCCACACCGAAGATCGCAGCAAAGCTCTCTGCAACAGAGTATTCTAGGAATCTCTTTGCCTTGCTCGCCTACGATGCGTTTGCCGAGGACTCAGAATGAGTTACTCGCTCGAAGGGACCTCGCTCTTCAGGGGGGAGTAGTGTGATAACCCGTCCAACCACGGACTGAAACACACAGCTGATTTCTGAGTTTTGCTCATAGACTGAATGCCCTACTGAGTTCCCCGCCTGCTAAGTCTATGTGTGTGTGTGCTTGCTGGACTGCATGTCTGTCTGAGTGCTGGTTGGCTTGCGTGTGTGACCATGCCTGTCTGAGTGCTGGTTGGTATGAGTGTGCGTGTGTGTGGCCTTCCAGGGCACTTGTTCGTTCGTTGGGCCTCAGGGCCGGTACTTACCTGTGGCCG